CAGGCTAGCTACTTTTGAGACTGGCCTATGGCACTCTGAGCGTTTTGTCCGGAGGAAGCAACCTGCCGTTTTGCATTACTTTTAAGCCCCCTCCAGCAGGACTTTTCTACCATTCTGCCCTTAGCAGAGTTACATGGGAGACCTGAGCTTGAGGACCCTTGCCCGAGGTTCCCCTGCACAACCCTAGGAGGCACTTACGACATCACAGTGGTCCTGCCTAAGTTGGGGCTACTATTGCTGTTATGAAACACCATCGGGGGGGAAAGCAACTTGGGGAGGAAAAGGTTTATATTACTCACAGTTCCCTATAACGTGTGGTTCATCATCAAAAGCAGGGAGGGCAGGAACTCAAACAGGGAAGGAACCTGAATGGAGGCAGGAGCTGGTGCAGAGGCCATGGAGGGGGTGCTGCATAGTGGTTTGCTTCTCTAGCTTATTCAGACGACTTTCTTATAGAACCCAGGACAACCAACCCAGTGACGGCCCCACCCACAATGGGCTGGGGCCCTCCCCCTTCAACCATTAATTAAGGAAATACTGGCTTGCCTACAGCCCGATCTCGTGGAGGCATTTTCTCAATTAAGGTTCCCTCCTCTCTGATGATTTTAACTTGTGTCAAGTGGACACAAAACCAGCCAGCACAGGTCTAAAGCACTCGTCACGGGCTAGGTGCCTTCTTGGGTCTCCGTGGCATGAGCCTAAGAAAAGTCCAACACAAGAAAGCACAAAGCTCATAGGAAACCACCTGAGTCAAGCGGTGTACCTTAAACTTTTATTGAAATAGCCCTGTCTGTCTATAAAAATGTCTGCGTGTCTATATGTATAATTTTTTTCTCTTAAATGGGAGTTACGAAGAGTTTGAGAATGGTATTTTACTTAGAATCTTTAAAATACCCAAATTTGGGTCTAGGGCAGGATGGGGTAGGAACAATGGGTAATGACCTGGCTGTGCAAGTGTGCAGATCTGAGTTCAGATCCCCAGCACCCACATAAAAGCTCGGCACGGTGGAGTGCATCTGTAACCCCTGGGGAGTTCTAGGTTCAGCGAGAGATTCTGTCTCAAAAGACAAACGAAGAGGGGGAAAAAGAGGTGGAGAGTGATAGAGAAAGATCCTCAACACCAACAGGCCTCCTCTGCCTTTGCATGCACACATGTACACACGTGCACACACATGTACACAATACATGCACACACGTTCACACATGCACACACATGTTCACATGTGCATGCACATGTACGCACATGCATACACCACCACTTCCCACCCACAAATGTCCGCATCTTTTATTCTCACAGGCTCCCTAGAAAGCTGTAGTAATGAGAAAAAGCCAAGGAATGGGAATTCTTTTGGCAGTGACGATGTAGCAAAGAAATAAGCCACAAGGATGCGTGATGTGGAGTTCTTTGTTACTCAGGAAGACACTTGGAGGCCTAAGTGTTTGCTAATAGGCTTCTGGTTGAATGAGTGATGTTCGGGCTACACAATGACTTCAGGGAGGCTATTAGAGAGAATAAGAGAACTGAGTCATATATACATTGTTCACTGGAAAAGCAAGGGACAGAACTATAGGTATAGTGGTTACTTTTTTTTTATTTCAAAGACACCATACTTATGTATATGTATAAAAACATGATTGTAACTAGAAACTCCTGGGGAAAACTTCCAAGCAGCTGTTGCACATGGTTACCTCTGGAAAGCACTACTGAGACCTCGGGGCACAATGCAGACATGCACTTTTGTATTCTTTAGATATTTTATTGATTTATTTTTCTCAGCTATAAATGCATTCTAGTATAATAGCATAAGCTAAAAGCAACATCCTGACCACGGGTGCAGGGTCCTCTCTGGCAGCCGATTTTGCTGACGTCCCCTCTTATCTTGGGATCTCTCTCCTGGTAGCCAGGACCTCTGGGAGAGTGAAGGAGGGACGATAGAGTTGGAGCAGACCTCAGCTGCACTTGTCCCCGAGGTGCCCGCTGTTGAGGCGGTTAGAGAAGAGCTGGGAGGAGACCATCTTTCCATGCAGTGCCCTGTAGACCCGTGAACTCCGCCACCCAATGTCCAGGGCCTGGGGCATCAGCAGTTTGGCCTCGCTTGAGGAAGGCAGAAGAGGGGATGAGAGAAAGTGAGGGGAAAGGTGGGCAGAGGTGGATGAGTGAAGGAAGTGGGCCTTAGGCCCTATTCCATCATTTCTCTAGAAGTCTAGTTCTAGAGCCTGGGTTGATTATCTGTTTTTAATCCATTCCAGGGATACCTTTTTTAATACTGAATCCCACAATGACAATCTTACCCTCCTATGGTGACAGACTCGTGGCAAGACCTGGTCAGAGCCTGCCCAGGCCATGTCCCTGGGAAAGCACACCTCAGCCTCGGCTCTCTTGTCCTTAGCTTCCACTTGTCGAAAGTGCTTTCGCTGTCCTAGGCAGACCTCGGGCTCACACTGCATTCCCTGTGGGAACTGGGAATGTCCCTTCTTCCATGAAAGTCATTTTCTGCCTGGACTTCTCTTCAGCACAGCAGAAGCTAGAGTCGCTCCAGGCTTTTCATCTCAAGTCCCCCAGAAAGGGCCCAGGCTTGAATCTTGTCACGGCCACCCTCTTCCCGCAAGGATGACGCGACCACTGGAGCTCTTCTCTCTGCAGTTTATTCCAGGACTTTATTCACAGCAATCTCTCTCCTTCTCCTTCTCTTTCTCTTTCTCTCTCCTCTCTCTCCTTTCTCTCTCTCTCTCTCTCTCTCTCTCTCTCTCTCTCTCTCTCTCTCTCTCTCTCNTCTCTCTCTTTTCCCCTCTCTCCCTCTCCTTCCTCTCCTCTCTCCGGGCAAACCTCTCCCAGCCCTTAAGTAGGCATGGGCTGCCAATCCCGGATTGCCAAGTGGGCACTGCCCATAGGTCCACGCATATGCAGGCAGCTGATAATCATTGAGTGATCATAGCACAGGTCAGGTCTTAGCCACCTCAGGAGTTGATTATACATCTCCATCAGGTGTGACACCACGCAGCTCACTACAGAATCTGACTGTTTTTTCATTGCTTCTGAATGGGTCATAGGCCTTGCCTTGAACCAGTGGACAAATCAAGTCCTGTGTCCAGCGGGGATGTGATGTGTTGATTGGGGTCATCCCTGCAGTCAGAGGTGGAGTTAGCTGTCCAATCAAGAAAGTGGGTGAAGGAAAGTGAAGGAAGTGAAGGGGAGCTGGGGTCTGGAAATAGCACTCCAGTACTTCCCCTTTCCTTCCTTCTTCCTCTTTTCTCTCCTCCCCTCCCCAGTCTGTATTACTGGAGACTGACCCAGAGATGCCGTATATGCTAGGCAGATGCTCCCTTCCTGAGCTAGATCCCCAGGCTTCTTTCTACTTCTAAATTTTGAGTCAAGGCCTCACTCAGCTGCAGAGCTAGTCTTCAGCATGTGATCCTCTTGTCCCACCTCCACCCTCTTGCCGGTTTCTGGGTTACAGGTTCACACCACAGATGCCCACCACCCCAGGTCCAGCAGTTTTCAACGATGCGGGATTCTCTCTTTGCTTAAACCAGCTTGATTCAGAGTCTGCGTTGTTTCTTGTTTCAATAGGAGTTCTGATGGAAAAAAAAGGAGAGGCTCATATACAGAAGAGTCCATTTTGTAGGTGTGTGTGTGTGTGTGTGTGTGCGTGTGCGTGTGAATGTGTGAGTATAATAAGAAAATGAGTGGAATGCCGTGCAAATGGTCCCGATGGTTTTGTTTTATGATGGGTGAGAACACGGTCTTTGAGCCATCCTACTCAGTGAGTCTAATGGTCAATAAATCACATTAGCTCTTCAACACTTCATTACAGAACAGGCTTTGTGTGAAGTGTTCTGCTCAACCACAGGCTACTACAAGAGTCTAAACATGTTAAGACATGCTAGGCTAAGCTATCGTGTTTGATTAGATCTAGTAACATGTATTTGTTTTGACGGACAATATGTTCAGCTTAGAATGGGTTTAGCGGACACAAACCCATAGTAAATCAAGAGACATCTGTGAAAGGGAGTAACTGGATATTGGGGCAGTAGGATTAAAAGTAATTTTTCTGTTATTCATTTAGATTTATATTTATGTGCATGAGCCCTTTTCCTCTATGTATGTAAGTGCACCATGCACATGCTTGATGCCTGTAGAGGTTAGATGAGGGCATTGGACCCTCTAGAACTGGAGTTACAGAGGGTTGTGAGCCTCCATGTGGGTCCTGGGAATCAAACTCAGGTCCTCTGCATGAGCAGCCAATGTTCTAAACCATGGAGCCACCTCTCTAGCCCAAGTTTTCGTTTATTAACTGAAATTTAATTTTTTGAGATGGTTTTAGTATGTATTTCTGGCTGGCCCTCCTCAAACTCATCTCTGTGCCTGCCCCTGCCTCCTGCATGCTTGGATTAAAGGTGTGCGTCACCACAGCTAGCTTAAAATGTGCAGCCCTGGCTGGCACTCACTCTCAATTTACTTAGGCCCCTTCAGAATATCCTAACAGTATGTGCTGCTCCAATGGACTTCTTTCTTTTTCTTTTTTCATGTATTTGTGATTATGAGTATGCATGTGTATTATGCGTGCATGTATTTATGTGTGTGCATATGTGTGCATGTGTGTGTGCTGCTCAGAGGTTGATAGCGGGTGTTTCTTTCACTCACCCTTCACTTTATATACTGAGGCAGACTCTCTCTCCTTGAACTCAGAGCTCACCAATTTACCAGTTTGGCTACTCTAGTTAACCAGCTTGTTCTAAGATTCTTGGTCCCCCACTTCCATGCAACACTATGCCCATCCAGTGTTTTAGGGATTCTGGGGACCTAAACTCCATCTTCATACTTGTATGGCAAGTGCTTTACCCCCAAGCCATCTCCCCAACCCCTTGCTCAGTATTTATTACTTGCAGTGCATCAAGCATGGGTTGCTAAGGGCTCATCATTCTCTGCCAGGTTTTCTTAGTTGTTCATCAGTTCAAGGGGGTGAGAGGAACTCTCTTTTCTGCTGTTGGTGTTGCAGGCAAGAACATGAGCCGCCTAAACACAAGCGACAGCTGCTCGTTTGTTGACGTGGATACGATGATGCGTACCTTGCAGCTGGCAGTCCACATCCCCACCTTCCTCCTGGGCCTGGTCCTCAATCTCTTGGCTATCCGAGGCTTCAGTACCTTTCTGAGGAAGAGGCAGCCAGAATACATTGCCACTTCCATCTACATGATTAACTTGGCCGTCTTCGACTTACTGCTCGTGCTCTCCCTCCCATTCAAGATGGTCCTGCCGCAAGTGGAGTCCCCTTCCCGAGGCTTCTGCACGCTGGTGGAGTGCCTCTACTTCATCAGCATGTACGGCAGTATTTTCACCATCTGCTTCATCAGCCTGGACAGGTTCCTGGCCATGCAGTACCCGCTCCTGGTCAGCTACTTCCGGTCCCCCAGGAAGACCTTTGGGATCTGCTGCATCCTCTGGATCCTGGTATGGATAGGAAGCATCCCTATCTACACTTTCCACAGGGAAGTGGAGAAATACAAGTGCTTCCACAACATGTCCGACGGCACCTGGAGTGCCAGGGTCTTCTTCCCGCTGGAGATCTTTGGCTTCCTCCTTCCCATGAGCATCATGGGCTTTTGTTCCTATAGGAGCATCCGCATCCTGATGGGCCGTAGGGAGTACACTCAGGACTGGGTCCGGCAGAGAGCCTGCATCTGGACCATCGCTATCAACCTTGTCATCTTCGTGGTCTCCTTTCTGCCGGTGCACTTGGGCTTCTTCCTGCAGTTCCTGGTGAGGAACAGCTTTATCTCCGAGTGCAGAGTCAAGCAGAGCATCAGCTTGTTCCTGCAGCTGTCCCTGTGTTTCTCCAACATCAACTGCTGCCTCGATGTTTTCTGCTATTACTTTGTCATCAAAGAATTTCGCATGGGCATCAAAGCCCACCGGCCTTCCAGAGTCCAGCTGGTCCACCAGGACACCACAATCTCCAGGGGTTAAGGGAAGGTACCCCAAGGGAGGGAAATCCCAGTCCCAAATTCTCATAAGAAACATCCTGTGCCTCTTTGACATTCTCTGGCTACCATCTTTGTTCTTTATACCCATCCCTAAGACCTTTCCACAGCATCTGGACGGCTGACGTATGTCACCCTTGGTTTGCGTTTGCTAAAGAACCAGGTGGCTTCTTCATTTCTAAGTCCAAAATGTAGAAAGCAGAAGAATCAAAAAAAAAAAAGAAAAGAAAAGAAAATGTAATTTTACTTTAGAAGCCTGTTTCTCAGCTTTCCCATCTTTCCATTCTGTTGGAAGAGTCGAGAAAGGGAGAGACGGAGAAAGGGGTAGGGCCGGGATTCGAGAGCATTTTGGTAGAGATACAGGGAGAGGGAAGAAACATGCCTTCAAGATGGAGCAAGCTTGCACTTTTCCCCAGACCCTTCTGAAGCTCTGTTGGCAATGACTCTACAGAAATGATGACAAAGAGGGCTTTTAAGAGCTGAAAAGATTTCCTTCCAGCCCTAGAAAGGTGCAAGAGGAGAGGCCATCCAAACCTTCTCATACCCTTGAGACGGACTAGATGGAGGGAGGGGGCTGTGTGAGGCAGGCCATGGGGAAGCAGGAGACACTATGGGGGCAATGGGGACAGGCTGGAAAGAGGAAATGGAAAAGGTCTAGAATATACTTAGGGAAGGAAAGAGACACACCCGAGCTGGAACCAGATGCCTGCTCTCCTAACACCATCAGTAGTAGTGCTGTCTCAGGACTCAGACAACCTAAAAAAGATAACTCTCTCGAAGGTGACCATCCTTCTCTCTTGGACAGCCTAGAAACAGATCATTGGACCAGTAGGAAGGAAGCAAGATTCAGTCATCCCAGAATGAAGGAAGAGTCCTTATTGGGTCCTTTCACTGGTTACAGGTCTAGGGAGCTGGCCAGGAACTGGAGGGAGGAGAGGGGGGGTGGCTTTCTTCACTAGGCGGCAGGAAGACCTGGGTTGAAAGAAGGCGGTGAGGTGCTCGTCGGTTCCTGGAAGGAAACTCCAGACAGCTGAATCAGTGTTGGAGCCTTGATGGGCTCTTCTCGCTCTGGTGGAGGTGCTGACAGTGACAGCTGCAAGCCTCACTTGCCATGACTCAGCCGTTCCAGAGAGTGAAACGATTAGAAGGATAAATTGTGGGGTGCTTTTGCAAGACGGAAGGAGTGGGATGAGAAGAAATGCATGAGACTTCACACGAATAAGACACAAGGTCTTTAGGAAAAGGAGCAGCTACAGCCCTGACTCACTGGATCCCAGGGATGAGACTGGGGGAGGGGTGAGAGAAGATGGAGATGTGTCTCTCATCTGGGACCTGCCCACAGAGCAGAAGCTGGAGGTGAGGCAAGGTGTGAGAGACAGGAGGAGCAGGAAGGAGAGGAAGATGAGGGAGGGAGGGAGGGAGGGAGGGAGGGAGGGAGGGAGGGAAGAGGAGAGGAAAGAAAAGGAGGCGAGGAGGAGGAAGGCAGATGGATGGGCAGGGAGGGCTGAGGCAGGGAGAGACTAGGAAGGGTCCTTAGGGAAGGTAAAGGCAGAGCAGCTTCCTCTTGAGAGTGTCATTGTCCTTGGATTGGAAGCCAAGGAAGGGCTGGTACTTCCAGGTCATGGTGGCTGAGGCAGTGTTTAGGTGGCACTGTGGAACCACCTGTGGGCCACTGAAGGAAAATGTAAGGAAGAGCGTCAAGGGCCTTGGCCGTGGCTGTAGAGGATGAGTCTCAGATCCAGAGCCCGCCTCAGAGCTGGGCCTCCAGGAGCCTGTCAGTGGAGATGCGGGGCCATGCAGACCCGAAAGGAGGGCGCCTGTTTTGTCTCACAGTTGTCCTGGGCAGAGATGCCATCTGTGACTCCGAGACAGCCTGACTGTCATATCCAGCAGAACATTCGGGTAGGTCTTGGGACCACCTCCACTGAGTTCTCTCTGTGTATGGAGCCCTTAGCCCATCCAGCAGAGTCAAATAGTCCCCTCCATGTGCAAGTGTGTCTGCCAGGTAGGCGTCCCCAGAGGAAAGGCTTAGCAGGCCTTGACTACCCACCATCCCCATTGATGGCCAATGCTAAAACTGACCTGATGGTGGAAAGGGCTTTGTGTCCCCAAGAGGACCATTGTCTAAGGCAGGGAATCTAGAGCCTTAAACTGCGGAGAGGTTCCTGGAGGGGTACAGCAGTGTCCAATCGGTGTGATGACCCTGGATCTGGAGATGGGGGACAGGCTCGAGAACCCCCTGATTCGTCCCCAAAGAGTGAGTGGAAGGAAAGTCTTGTCTTTTCCCAGGGAGACTTACCTGTGTGTGTCCAAACTCTGGGTCCAACGTCACCAGTCCTATGGGTCCGTAACTGGCAGTTGGCCCAGCGGTACAGAAAATAGGGACGGTTAGAGTCAGAGCACAGCCGATGGCCGTCGGCGAGTCGGGTACACCCAGGACTTAGTTGTGGAAAAAGCCCAGATTCCTGTTACTAAAGTCGATGGGGCTAGAAGCTATTGTTTAAGCATAAACAAAACTCATTTGTACCCAGGCTAAAAAATCTGACATATCAGCTGTGTGTACAGTTGTGAAATCGAGCAAAAATTAACTGGAAAACCAATGTGATTAGCATGATTTACCAAATAAATAAATTCATTCAATGCACCATGACTTTGTCTTGGGCTTCCATTTCTGATTCCAGAGAAGAACTGATCACTAAGAGCCCCTCAGATTCAACAACTGTGGACCCTCAGATTCACCAGCCACCAGGACACCGAGTATGGCGTATCTCAGGTGTGCAGCTGGTCTTCCCAGTCAGTTAGGAGCTAAATCCTGAGGAAGTCTAGTGGCAGTCACATGGGTGCTCAGTTATCTGCAGTAGCTACTGAGTCTCATGGACCCCACAACCCGGCCCCAGTCCTTTTCAGCCATCTTGTTCCACCACAACATGGCTCTGCATCCATTAAGGGGCCCAGCCTGAGAGGCCTGCCGACCATGCATCCTCCGGTGGTAAAGCTCCTCACCTACCCGAGTCCCTGACAGGCATGGCCCAATAGGCTTAGGCCTATGATACTCCTTTTTCCTAAGTACCTCAAGTTCCAAGACATGACCCGGATGTGGAAGCAGGGACGTCCTCATTCCTCAGCAGTCATTTTTCTGTTAACCCTAGCTACCTCACGGCTGGGTCCTATGCCCTTGGATCCCAGAGGATGTCACTGGAGAATGTCTGTTCATCAGCTGCCTTTGCCAGCTTTGTTGCTTACGTGCCTGCTTCCCACGGACCTTTGGAAGGTGACATCATTACAGTCATACAGTGGAGATGCCCTGGGTTTCTGAGAACGCCCATGGGGAAGATTCTACCCTCTAGAAAGTTACCATGAATCACCAGTAATTTCAAAGATGCTTGAAATGACTGTAGGCTCAGTAGCAGTTGCAGAGACTCGTGAGGATTAGAAAGGACTGGTTTAATGGATCAGCGAGGGAAATACAGGGTGGGCTTTCTGGCCAGCCAAGCAGGACCCATGTGGAGAGGCCACCTGCAAGATCCTCCCTGGTCCTCAGAGGGCCAACTACACTGTGGACAGCATCCTTTGGGGGCCACAGAGAAGCTGGCTGAGGCCGCTGTGAGAATCCCATTCTGAGGACAGGGGACTCAAAGATTTATGAAGTTGATTTTGGGGTGCACACCCCTGAAACTACCACCGTAGTACCTCTCACTTCTCGGCAGTGCCTCTTGGGTAAGGCCAGGGCAGAGCTACCCCAGGTACTGAAGGAATGTGGAACACAGGAGAGAGGAGCAAAGTGCATGCCTGTCCCCTCTTCCCTCTGTGAACAGTGCTGGGGGAGGGACCGTCACTGTGAGCTACAGCACGAGTGAGGCCCTCTGCCCTTTGGTGTCTGCAAAGCAAAGACTTCAAAGGAATGCTTGTGGGAGCGACCCCGAGCTCACCTTTGAGGCCCCAGGCGGTGCCTTTGCTCCAAAGCAGTCACCTGAGAAACTATAACCAAAACTCGTCTGCACAAGGTGCATTGCAGTCATGGGGGTGGGAGGAGGTGGGAGAGTGTGGGAGAGGTATTGCACAGCACAGTTGGGAAAAAAAAAAAGGCCGTTTAATCTGCAAAGTGGGGCTCTGTGGAGCACCCCTCTTTTCTAAGGTTAGCTTTGGATGTCCAAACACACTCCTAATGCTTCCCATTCAAGTCACATAGTGAGGAGGGCAAGGCACTTAGGGCCGTTGTTCAGGGATAAGCCAGCCATGACTAAACCCAAGGACGGCAAGAGCTGATTCTCAGAGGCAGCGTCTCTCACACAAGCTGGGCCTGAGGCAAGGGACTCAGTGCTGGTGGCCAAGGTCCAGGGAGGAGACTGGGGCCTAGAGACCAGGATCCATAGGATGGTTAAGGAAGGCTCTAGATAGTCTTCGGGTAGGGAATATTTTTGGAATGAGACTTCAGTAGCATCTGGTAGATGAGGAGAAGCCCCCATAAACACACAAGATAGGCTGATGCGCCTGGGCACTGAGAAGGCCCATTCCAGCTGCAGAAAGCCTCTGCTCACACCCACACCTCCCTCACATTCTTCCCCCCTCAAGGGGCAGCTGGGACTTTGCTTTTACTGAAGGCCCTCAGGGACAATCGCTATAGAGTGTGGTAGGGGAAGGTACCAAAGCCCAGGTGCTTGGTAGACTTGCCTGCACCCGCAGGCAGATGGGCTCTGGCATTCATGGAGGATGGCATCAGGCCAGCATCCCTTGAGTGTTCGAGACAATTTAACTCCAGGGACTGGGGAAAGCGGGTGGGTTAAGTCATCGGGGCAAACACAGACGAAGGCTGGTGGTTAATAGAGCTGCGCTGTTGGTATTTCCTCCCTGGGATTTCACTCCGCAGAGCACGCAGATATCACAGATACAGCCAGGGGCTGGCGGCGCATAGGAGGTGCCGCTAAAGCTGCAGAAAGGCATCTATCTCTCCCCATCGTGGAGGATGAACGCACAAGGTCTGGCCCGGCTCTGTGTCCCATGAGAGCGCTCTTCTTGACTGCAAATGTTTGCTTCTGTGTCTGCACGTGGCAGAGAGAGAACAAGCTTTCTGGAACCTTCGGATAAGGATACTGATCTGTTTGGGTCAGGCTTGGCTGTTGGGGTTTCAGTTTACCTTCGTTGCCCTCCTAAAAGTCCAGAGTTGGGCTTCGATACCTGAATTTAGGTGGAAGCATTCAGGCGGTCCCCACGACTTCTACTGAGTACACCCAGCTCTGAGCTCCATGACATTTTACAAAGACATGCCTGCCACCTCTGTCGTCACTGGGATTCCCTCTTGCTCCGGGACCTGTATGAATTCTAACGACCTGCAGAGATGGCGCAGTGGTTAAGAATGCTTGTTGCTCTTGCAGAGGTACTGAGTTCAGTTCCCAGCACCTACATAGGGTGGCTCACAACACACACAAATAAAAGGGAAAATAAATATTTAAAACTAAGTGGGGTTAGCTGGAGAGATGGCCCAGCAGTTAAGAATACTTCTTCCAGGAGACTAGGGTTTGTTTCCCAGGGACTGTGACACAGCGGTCTGAAAGTCTAGTCCCAGGTGATTCGGTGCCCTCTTCTGGCCTTCTCAAGAACTGCATCCACATGATGCAAAGCACCCAGATATGTAAAAAATAATAAATGAATAAAAGAGGGTCCTTATTTGAGAAATAGCAGGGAAGTGGTCACAGATCCAGGGTCCCAGGACAAGGCCTGTGAATGAAGGCTTTCACGTTACACAGTCACAAGGCTTTCTCCTACAGTTCCCACGGGGTTGCAAGCTGCTCTTCCCCCCAGATCAAATGTCCACATCAAAAACATGCCTTGGAGACTGGCCACCTTCCCTGGACCACTGTCATGCCTTCTCCCCACAGATCCTATGGCACTTTCTCCATCTAGATCCGGGGCTCCAAAGTCTGGCCACCTTGAAGACAGGAGAAGCTTGGAGACGTCCAAAGCAGATGGTTTTTGGCACCCATCCTTGTAATCAGGATACTGCTGGAGAAAATGGAACTGTGGTGTTGGGACAGCATGAGGTAGCTCCAGCATCTCCAGCAGAAATAGCTGGCATTTGTGTTTCCTGGGTAAAGGCCACATCTACTCCTGAATGGAGCAAGAAGGACGGAACAGAGGACTGGCGGCTCTCTGTGGTGCCAGCCGTTCCTGAAGAGGAACTGGGAACTGGGAGCCCACTCCTGCCATAGGCTTTGCTCGAGATGCCTGCAATAGTGCCCACCACCTTCCCATAGGTGAGTGCTCAGCAGTTTAAGTGGAAGGGCTATCAGTCTGGTACTTAAAGAGATGGCAGAAGAACCGCCCCACTCAACTGCTGGTCACACTTGCTAGCTAAGTGGGTACCCACGGGCATCCTGGGATCAGGGTTGTGAGCA